GGGCTAAATGGAGGTGAAGAAAATGTTAAAGCAAGCCTAGGGTGATGTATTTCACAGAGGAAGTCGGGTTTGGTAGTAGAAAATCAGGTAGGATCCATTTTGGTTCTGATTTAATGCTCAAAACGTTGTGCTGCAAAATATGACATTTTGGCCCCTTAAATTTGGAACTTCCAAATCCGAACCTCACCCACACAACTTCTACAGTCATCCATTCGAACGGCGACAACAATTATAGAGAGATTGAGATTGAGGGATTAGGCATCAACTAACTGAGATTCATGAGCTCACGGCTGACTATGGCATCAAGCAGAGACAGAGCAAGGCAAGCCGCCGCGTGCATGAAATATGGCGTGCCGAGAACAATAAGAGTAAGGCCCGAGGCCGCCATGGGAGGTGAGATTAAGGTCTAAGGGGACTGGGGAAAGTGTCGAGAGCCGGAGACGGAGGGCCGAGCCGCTGATGACACTGAGACGGAGGGCCACAGAGCAGAGTCACAGTCCTGAAGGTGAATAAGAGAATGAAGAGTCAAGACTGAGCCTAACCCCATGTTTGGTTAGGTTGTTTTGGAGGGGAGGGCAAGGAAGCGGAGGGGAAAAGGGAAGAGTGTGTTTGGTTGCGACATGGACGTTCTCGTCGGTTTGCAGAGGAGAAAGGAAGACGTGGAGACGCAGCTCCTGCTACCTTTGCTGTGGAGATGGGAGTAAGAGGTGATGGACTCTATCATTATGGCGGCGAGGAGAGCAGTGGAGATGGGAGGAAAGACGATGCAGAAATAAACATGGAAAGTGAGGGACCTGTTCGCGGGCTGTTGGACTTGGGCAAATTGTTTTTGAAAAATTCAGGCCCCTTCTCGTGTGTTTCAAATGAAACAGAGGAGAACTCCGGTCTGGTATACCCAACAGATGAGAAACTGCTCGTCTGTTTTTAATGAAACAGACGAGAAACTTCTGCTCTGTTTTTAATGTGTCCTCGCCTGTTTTACAAAACAGACAAGAACATCCACAATTTTTAAGAATACTCATTTTTTTCTCTTTCCTTTTTATAAACAGATATGAATGGGAGAAGTAGGAGGTAAAAAGTATATTTTCTTGTAGTGCTTCTCATAGTGCTAGCGAAAATGACTTTTGAGCCACGTAAAAAGTCATTTTGGCCCTGGCAAACTGCACAGAGAGCCACTGGTTCTTGTGTTGTATAATCCCTTAGTTTTTTATCTTGGCTCTAATTCTCATGTGTCATGCAATAAGAACCAATACTTTGAAGACCAATTTCTCTAGAAATCAATTGAATGCAATTAATAACCAATTATCATAATTTTAGCCATAAATTAAGCTTAACTTAATTCCATGTAAGCGCTGTTACTCTAAATTATGCATATGAGCCTATAAATGATCATAAAAAACACTTAAAATGATGTGAAATTACCCATATGATATTCTATGACAAAAATTATGAAACTTGTCACTTCCAGTTCAATATTTATCATTTTTAGTTCAACACTTGCCATTTTCAGTTTACAGATTAGCTAAAAATAATTGAGAAAAAATTATGGAATTTGTCATTTCCAGTTTAATATTTATTATTGCCAACTCAACACATGTCATTTTCAGTTCTATTAATATCATTTATGTTGTGAAAGAGCATATGGGTAATTTCACAACATTTGCAAAATGCAAGTTCAAGCCTCACCTCCTTCCCTGTTTATTTTCAAGTGTTACTTACCTAAATTAGAATTTTACATATTCAGACTTCTTCTTTTAAGGATTTTCCCCAATTAATATTGTTGAAATTATGATAATGGAAGGGTTGTCATGCGTTTTCATCGTTTATGAAATCTTAGAGAAAATGCATCTATGTAGTATCACTTCAAATATTTTACTTTTGGAGGTGACAAAAGTCATAACTAAAAATCAAAAAGTCACCACTGAAGATTTTTAGCATTGATTTTTTGTCATCACCAAGTTGTTGCAATAGTGACTATTGCTGATACTAGTCGACGGTGATAAAATAAGTCATTGTTGAAAGTGTACTTTTAGAGGGTGCCTTTAACAATGACCCCATATGTCATCGCTAAATGTGACATTAGGCGGTGATCCTAGATGTCATGTTGAAGGTGGCAAACAAAAAAGTGACACGTCATTCGCCACATTTCACATTGTGCCATGTCATCCACCCACTTGTCACGTCACCATCTGCCATGTGTCACGCCACATCATCCGCTCACATGCCACATCACCTACCCATATGCCAAGTGTCACCAGGTGATCGACCATTGCCATGTCGTGCCATGTCATAGCTCAATATTTTCACCTCCGAAATGCACCTTCTCCATATTCGAACTCATAACCACTTTATTGTAGTGTTAAGTCTCCTACCATGTGAATTGTGATGAAATCTCATCTTTTTGTTGCAAAATTAAATATATACAGATATATATAAATGATATTATTTATAATATATATGTTTATTAATATATATATATGATATAAATATATAGATATTAATGTATAAATATGTTAAACTATACCCATATAAAAGTTATGTTAATACTCATATTTTTATCAATATATATAACATAAATATAATGTTAATATATATTGATATAATATTTAAGATATTATTTTTAAATAATGTAAAATATTTATATAATGAATATTTAATATAATACATTCAATAAATTTTTTATTTATATTTTTTCTGCCAAGAATTTTTTATTTATATTCAGTGGATAATATTATTTAATATCTTAATTTAAAATAAAAAAATTATATGAAAAATAAAAAAATCCCTTATTATGCCATATGTATTTTTTATTGCTTTAAAATTTATTTTCCATCTAAATTAATTATATTATTGTTTGAGCATTTATTGGTAAATTTTTGCCGTTGATTTTCAGTTTTATTATTATTTTTGTTTCTGAACTATTAATTTATTAGAAATTGTAGCATAAATTATGATTTATATTGATATTTCAAAGTAATATTAAATAATTATATAATATCATATAAATATATTTAATAAATTTTTTAGACAAAAATATGATTATATCCAATATATGTATAAGGATCATCGCCGGAAAAAAAAAATCTATGTACAAGGGTATTTTGATTAAGGTGTAAAGAAAAAAATATCCTATGACCTGAGGATTAATTTATTAAAATTTTATAGGCTTAATTATATTATTGATATTTATATTTCAAGAATCTTTATATAGGTATAAAAAGATTAAGAAAATTAGTTAACTTAATTGTTTGTATGAAAACATGTGTTGATTTCTCTAAAGTACACCTATGGCTATTTTGCATTACAAACTCCTTCTTGATTAGTACTCCTTATATAATGTGCAAGAAGAGTTTAGAAAAAATTATAAATTTAAGAGATAAAGTAGATTGAATCTTATATTTAAAATACAAATAAAAAACACCGAACTCTTGTACACAAGAAATTAAAGTTGGAACATTTACACCATGGCCATATACACCAGTTTAATAAAAAAAAAATACATATATTAATGATGTATCATTCATTTTATAAATTAAATTATTATTTAAGCACAAAACCTTTGAAAATGGAAATTTATTAATTATCCTATTTTATTTCTTCATGATATAATAACACATTTTATAATTTGATATGTTAAATATTATATTAAAATAAAAATGAAAGAAATTATAATAATTGGTGATAAAAAAAATGACTAAAAAAATGACATTGACTTTCGGTGGCCACATTCAACAGTGACTATTACTTTTACTGCTGATAGTCTAACTTCCAGCAGTGACTATATAAAATTGCTACTGAAAGTTGTTACTATTAGCAGCGACTATATAAAATTGCTACTGAAAGTTGTTACTATTAGCAGCGGCTACATAAAATTGCTACTGAAAGTCAAATTTCAGCGCTGACTTTTTAGAGTCATTGCTGAAAGTTATCACCAAAGTCATTTTTTAATAGTAAATGGTGGTTTTTGTATACTTATTGCCCAAAAAACAATGGTACTCTCTCTTATCCATAATATAAGTTATTTAAACTAATTCATCAGGGCAAAAAAATGTATAGTTACGTTTAAACATTAATTTTTGGGATAAAATTGACAAATAAGTATCAATTTCTCTAAAATAACTTATGTTTTGAAACATGCAATTCTTCTTGAAGCGACTTATATTACTGACTCAAGGAGAGCAATAGTATTGTAGGGCTTTGGTGATGAGGAATTCAATTGGTAGAGTTTGGGCTTAAATTTTGTTGTCATGGACTTTGCTTTGTGTTCGTTATGAGGTTAAGATCTGCTGAAAAATAAAATGATTCAAATTTTCTCATATTTTGGTTAAATTCTCTTTCCATTGTGGATTGGTCTCCCGATTAACCATTTAATTTGTATTTAAAGTATTAGCTTTTTCTAACTCTAGTTTTTGTTTTCACTTTTCACCTTACACCCTTTCTTTATTTCTATAAATTATTTATAGTAGAAAATTTGAAGGACTTTGTTTGTTTTAGATAATATTTCTCTTGCTACATAAACCAGAAGGCCTAGCACAATTAGCACATAACTTAGATTTTGTAAACATCCAATCAGAGGTTCGATCCCAGGTAATGTGTATGGATAGAATCTTGTGACTAGCATATAGTGAGAGGGGATTAGTTACTACTATTGGTGATGGATACCTTAAGCTCCAAGAAAAAATTATTTCTCTTGCCACATACAAGTCAATACCCAAAAGATAAGAATAGGTCTAGGAATTGAAAATACAAAAGAAAACCTATACAGCACAGACTTGATTGGGACGTCTAATTGCTTGCTGGTCTTCTTCACTCATTAAGATAGAACGTCAAAAAAATGATGTCTTTTGCATCAGATCTTTTCAAAATATGACAAAGCTGAAGATTTAACTTCTGCTAGGAAATATTATAATAAACCAAGAGGATTTTTCACAACATGATGAATGATATTTAACACTCAACAATGCCTCAAGCAAATTGCCTTCAATAGAGGATACGTGTACTTAGCAAGTAGTAGCAGCAGCAGCAGCAGTAGTAGTGGTAGTAGTGGTGGTAGTGGTAGTAGTGGTGATAGTGGTAGTAGCAGCAGTAGTGGCAGTAGTGATAATAGTGGTAGTAGTAGCAGTAGTGGCAGTAGTCGTAGGAGCAGCAGTAGCAGCAGCAGCAAGAGGAGGAGGAGCAGGAGCAGGAGGAGCAGCAGGAGCAGCGGCGGCGGCAACCTCGGCGGCAATGGCAGCAGTAGCAGTGGCAGTGGTGGTGGTGGTGGTGGTAGTGGCAGCCGCAGCAGGAGGAGGAGGAGCAGCAGCAACAGTAGTAGCAGCAGTAGCAGTAGTAGCAACAGCAGCAATTTTTTTAACCAACATCTTGTATTATGGACCATATGGAGTGTAATACATAACTTTTGAATGATATAGCATAATTAAACTTATATGTAATAAATTTAAGCAAATATAGGCATTATGAAGCTTATATTCGAAGGTTTTTGTGTGAAGAAGTTGAAGGTGGAGGATTGGAGGAGCATTTTTGTAATTGTAACATTAATTTCTCCTTTGTCATTTATTACAGGACTATCGAGAAGTACTTTTCATTTCAGTTACATGAAATTATTTTACAAAGCTGTTCAAAATTTCATGGCGCGGCTCAAATAAAAGCGAAAAATCTAATGCTTAATGTCATGCTTTTTGATTGACTTGTGTTTTGGACCAGCATGTTGATTTTATAAACTTGTGCTTGGATTAGAATAGATTTTGGATAAAATTGATTTATAGTTAAGATTTTGAGAATATATTTGGTTGTAACTGATTTATAAGATTGATTTTGTGGGTCATTGAAAAGCCAAAGTCTAGTATAAACCTAAAGTCATGCATAAACCTAAAATATCCCCGCCAAAGTCTAGTATAAACCTAAAGTCATGCTTATTATATAAGGTACCAAATATCCTTATAAATGCCAAAATAATCAATCATAAACCAAAAATCATGGTCATCTAATAAGCTAATATGACCTGCTTTTCAATTATATTTTTCTAATTTATCTAAAAACCCTATTTCAATTAAATCAATCATGCTTATGAATCAATTTTATTTTACCCAACACTAATCCAAATATACTCAAAACAGATGGCGTTACTCGTGAGAAAAATGGATGATATGGTCTCATAATTGATTTTAATCGTATTATGGGTGTGAATAGCCATGTCTTGGCACTTTCAAATAAAAACTAGACTAAATGTAGTATAATAGCACTAATCTAGGTCGATTGCTGCGTGGAGTCTATCTTAGTTCCTAGAGTATTTTGTCTAGCTATGAAGCGAAGCTAGGTTACTTAGTTATGTGTTTATCAAGTAGTTAATGAATGAATGTGATGAAATGAGTGTCTTTCAATGCAGTGCATAAGAATGCCCTTGATGTTTGAATCCACTAGCCATCGTAGTCCAATTAAATTGACTTCCTTTATTGGTTAAGTGTTAGAATGCTCCTGCTAAACAATATTTTATTGGGCATATATATAGACACACACAAGGACACGTTGCATGCTACTCCCTCAATCTCTTTTCATAATAAATAATCTCTCTTATAGTGATATCCCTAAATATAATAAACAAATCATCTTTATCTAAAATTATAAATTGGTCTTTCCACTGTTATTCTCATTAATTATATGCTACTTATTGTTTCTTTGCAACAAATTTTCACTCATTATCTATTATCTCTCATGTACTCTCTTTACAAATAAGGGTATAATTGTAAAAATATATATCTTACAATTTATTTTTAACTAAATTTAACCAAAATTTTGAATCACATGATTTTGGTTGCAGTTTCTTATACTTAGATTGAAGGAGTAATGAAGAAGAATAGATATGAGATTAGTCAATTAAATGGATGTAACTAATTCCAACTCAAGGTCCCACAAATGAGGCCATTATTGAGAAAGAATTACTTCCTTCCGTCCTTATTATAAGCTTCAAATAACTAATTCTTAGATAACAAATAATTACTTAAAATTAGTTAAGAGTAATAAATAGGCTAGAAATATATTTTGTTTCCAAATATGCCCTTATAATAAATAAAAAAAGGATGAAAGAGAATGTAAGGGAAAATGTGATAAGAGAGATTATGACAATGGAGATCGAGAGGATAAATAAACAAGGATAAAATTAAAAAAATACATTAAATATTAAGGCAAACCAAAGATTTAGCTTGTAAAATAGACCACATATTTTTTTCAATTTTGAAGCTTATAAACAAGACTAGAGGGAGTACTTGTCATGTCATATTTGAACGTCAAACTCAAGGAGTTATATTTGATTTGTAATTGTAATATTTGCTCACCCAACCGTAAAAGCTGTTACACAAGCATAGGTATCATCCTATCAGAATCCTATTCGAGACACTATTAGACACTAAATATAGCTACCTCCGCTAACGAGAATATGAATATTCATTGACCACGTGCATAGATATTTTATAAAAGAAAACACAGGGGAATATATTTTTTCGAACTTTAGGTCTAGGTCTGTTTTTTATGGGCCAAATTATAATTGAGTGGGAAATGAGTAAGCTTTCCAATTAAACAATTAAATTACTTAAATAAGAAAAAATAATATTACATTACAGAATTTGCCATTAGTTGGTTGATTACTTAATTAGGTTAGCAACCTAATTAAATAAATATAAATTAATAAGTGATTTAATTTATATTATCCAAATAATCCGATATTATGGATATATGAGTATTTAAATGAGTTTAAATTCGAATTCATGTATTATCTTTCCATCAGTTGATACTCATCACGGCCATTGAATTTTTAAGCTATCCTTCCTCCTCTCTCTATTTTTCTTTTGTGGTGCTCTACTGTGCCACTCAGATTTAGGCTCTAGTAGTCTAAATCCTGCTTGAGCATCAATGGATCAACTTGCAGAGTTTCAAAGGTATGACCTAGATCTGAACATGAATCTGATTCAATACACACCCCTTCCTAGTTAATTTTTCCAACATATTTATCTATGTGCATGTTAATTCTCTATTTATTCACAATTAAACAAATCAACTAAAAGATGTTGAGAAGTCTATACTTGCATATGGCCTACTAGCCATAATTCGTTTTAGTGCCATGTTCCTCAGCGACATCGCAATCAAATGCGGCTGTGTTCTCTATTCTAATTGCGGAGGATAACTAGGTCATTTTTTCAGGCATAAGTATTCTTCGACAATTTTATTTGAGGCACTGCCATGCACTAAATATGAAAAAGCAAGGATTTGAATCTTAATGCTCCACCTTAGGAGGACTAGTCCCAGGATAGCTAGGTTTTTAGCTTGCATATGATCTCTATTCTCTCTATCACTTCATATACTGTCATATGCATTTTCTAATAATTTTGTAATAGTTGTAATAATAATATTTCTTAATATAGTTTGCATGTAATTTGAAACACAAGAAAACGTAGAATCCCCTGCATTACTAATAATGATTATTGCAAAATAACTAAATGATTGTTTATTTGGCTCTTTGTGTTCTTGCTCCTCCAGCAACTGCGGCAACAAGTATACAATTAAGAAAGAATAATAATAAAAGGAAACATATGAGCATTCATTATCCTATTTGCCAAATAGATCATAATTATTTCTTTGTTATTAATAATTTTTCTTTGATACACCGGAGAAAACAAAACTCAAACGTCCAAAAACAAGAATTCAGCAATTCCTGCAAGGCTTCATCATGTCCTGATCTGCAATCCATGTCTGCCATTCAAAGCGCATTTCGCCAGAGCATCAGCCATGCAATTGAGATCCCTAGATATCACTTGAACTCCTGCCAATGTCCACATGAGCATATGTTTTATCTCGCTGATCATCAGGTTCCAATCTTCATGGGTATCTGATGCTGCATTCTTTATCAGATTTTGGGTGTCAGCTGCCCCCTCTCACTTATCCTTCTTATGATTTTTCAAAGAATTTTGCATCTAAATAAAAAAGAAGTACTTTTCCCTACACCAATTTTGGAGTTTTTGCTTTTGAAAAATCATAAAAAATTGAAAATTAAGCCTTTTTTTGGCCCGTAAGGTATCAAAATTTCACCTATTTTATGTAGAAACTAATGATGAGAAAGGAATTAAAAAAAAGTGAATTTGAAAAGTAGGAAAAAATTGAGGGGCAGCTGACACCCCAGATCCTTATGTCGCGCCTCCACCGAATAACTTCTCACAATAATCTCCTTAATACCAACGTTCTAGGCTGTCTTGAGCCCCATCAAGCAATCCCAAAGCTCCGCCGTAAGGTAATCACCATTATCAAACTTCAAGATGAAAGCCTCCATTCCATTATTCTAATTGTCTTTAAACACTCCCCCACATGCTATCAGATCGTTTTGCAATGAGCTAGCAAGCCCTGTCTACTTCGATCACTAAAAAAAACTTTAGGTGACGACTTTCGGCAGCGACAAAAAAAGTCACCGTTGAAAGTTCACTTTCAGCGGTGATAGGCGAGCACTAAAAAGTCACCGCCGAAGGTCTGACTTTCAGCAGCAACTTTATAATGTCACTGCTGAAAGTATAATATAATAATATATATTTTATTTTACAATAGTAATAAACAAATTCAATTCGGCTTAGTGGCAAGAAGATTAGACACGAAAGAAGGTGGTCACAAGTTCGATCCTTGAAGAAGACACATTTAAGGTGAAAATATTTGGACGACGATGTGGCAGGGAGGAGTGATGTGGCAATGACGTGGAGGTGGCTAGTGATGACGTGGCACCTGGTCGGTGATGAGGTGGAGGTGGCTAGTGGTGATGTGGCACCTGGTCGGTGATGAGGTGGAGGTGGCTAGTGATGATGTGGCAGTAGCCGGCAGCAGTGATGACGTGGCATTGGTAAAGCCAATTCTTCTTAGGCATCACTTTCAGTGGCGACAAACGTCAACCTTTTGAGTCGCCATTGAAAGTGTCTTTCAGCAGCGACCTTTTTAGTCACTGCTGAAAGTTTTCAGCCACGGCTGCTACAGCAAAAACTTTTCAGCGGCAACTTTTTGTCGCGCTGAAAGTCAATTTTTTTTGTAGTGGATGTTAGTTGCTTATTCAAATTAATGCCCCTAAGCTTCTTATAAGCTTTTGTCATGCAGCCTAAAATAGTTCCAACTTTGGCAAGAACATATTAGACAACTGCATATACCTGGATCGAACACTATCATTACGTCTTCTCCATGTCAACCAGCGTATATTCTGTCAGTAAACAATTCATCGAAGACGTTCTAGGAATGTTTGGATTAGCTTTTTAGAAGTGATTTTACAGAGTTTAAGGTAAGTATGTGAAAGAAGTTTTGTCATAACTTATATGAAAATACTTTTTTTATAATGATTTTT